GCCTAGGACCATCAAGGGGAGACCAGGTACACTTGACCCGCGCAAGGAGCTAGATGCAGCTGTCACCATTCTACGGCCTCAGAGCGTATGCCTTGCCGCCGGACGGTGGCGGTCGTGTCGGTGGTTGGGCCGTTTTGCACGACGGCTGTGGCGGCGCTCTGGAGGGGAGGGCGGCCACTTTCGGGTGGTGGATGACCGGCTTTTGAGGTCTTGCAACCCTAGCTGTGACAGCTTCGGACAGCTCGCGCAACCCTAGGAACAGCGGGCCGGCTAGGGTTGAGGCCACTCAGCCCGGGACACGACGGGGGTGGTGGAGGTCCGAAATCACGCCGCTATGCCTCGGCTCCAGCGAGGCCTCTCAGGCCCTAGCTCAGGTATATGCAGTACAGTAGCCGGAAGCAGGGAACACCCACACCCCAGCACCAGTCTTCTAGGTGGAGGCGGGCCCGCTGGTATCGTCGGGAAGGTCGAGGAGGGTGGGTGGATGAGCGAGAACCTGACGAGGCCTGTACCCTCCCCACGCCACCGGCCCGCACAGGTGTCACGCTTCCTTTCCTAGACCGAGACGCACCTACCGCGAAGCCAGAATGGGTTGCGGAGGCTCGACGCCCATCGACATGCCGGTCCACAATGCCGGCATGGCTTCGGCCATCGGCCCTGTGAGTAGGGGCAAACACTGAAAACGTAACTTGATCGGGGCGCGGTTTTTTTTGGACTAGACTGCTCGGGGGAGGTGGGCGAGTGATTGGGTAGCTTTGGGGCCACCGAAAATAATGAGAACCGCCCCCTATATCTCGCCAAATCTCGATTTTTCGCGGGAATGGGGGCTTCTCAGCCCCGCGCGAGCTACAGTGACTCCCCAGGGCTTGTCCCGTGGCCCAAAGTGGTACCCCGAGCTCCGCCACGATCGTGAGCAATCAGGAGACACCCACAGTCACGGCGGGCGAGGAGTTGGGTGACGGCCAACTGTCGATTACGGCGCCTCTGGAGCCTCCTGTATCGTCGGTTCGGCTCGAAGATCGTGCCGCATCCGCATGTAAACCACCTCCGCGCCCCCGCTGGCACATGTCCGCATTGCCCGAGCCTGGGAGAAGTTCCCAGTGCCCGGAGGCTGCACAGGTCCGCGAAACGCTGGCGCTGCAGCTCCCGGCGCGCACCCCAGATTCGCGAGGAAAACAGCCGAAAACGGTTCGCGCCGCGATCGACCCTCAGCGAGCCCAGGCGAGCCTGGTAATCCCACCCGGTGGTAAGCGCACGTCCTCCGCGTAGTCTAGCGCGCTGTGCAGCCCGCCAGTGCATGGCGCCGACCTGGGCCGACTGGTCGATCTCGCCGCGATCTCGCCATCCAATTCTCGGTCAGGTGTAGTGGATCACCTTAAAATCCTGGATTAATTCCTGAGCCCACCTGGCCCCACCAGACGGGTGGCACGAGGCGCCCGGGCCACTTTTTAGCGCCTCCCGAGCCTCCCGGCGCCTCCTGTGGCCTCCTGAACCCTCTCCCCCGCAGCCTCTCTCGGCGACGTGGGGAGCGGCTGCCGTCCACGGCTCGCACCGGCTCTTCCAGCGGCTCCACGCTTGCCGCCTGTGACGCCCGCGCCACGCACCACCACGCGGCCGCTCGAGAGAGCGGTCCACGCCCATACTGCTGGGCGTGGCGCTCTATCGGTCGACGCTTCGGCGTCGCTGCTTGGTTGGGGACCCGTGCCTCGACGCGGCGGCGCGGCCGAGTACGGCTCGGTGGAACAGCGCGTCGCCACGGATGAGACGCGGCCACAAGCGGCTGGGGAAGCTCCAAGAATGTTTCGTTTTACTTGCAGGAGAGGTCCAAGCAATTCTGGTGACTGCATGGCTCTTCGCGTCGAGGGATGCGTCCAAGATAATGAGTTGCTTCATGAAAGCGCCGTGTCTTGCGGCATATTCCGGGTCATCGATCCACGTGGTGATGTGACAAACTAGCCGCTATTAATGAATATGGGAATGTTATCTAGTTAAGGCAACCCGAGCGACAACTCACGCGCTTGGCGTGTGTGTGCCTGCTGCTCAAGCGGATCATCCCCTCCGTTTTGTGGTAACGCGGATATGAGCATATACACAACACACATACCACGGTCCGTCTGCATCCTCGGCCATCTACCGCCGTGCCGCAGAGTCAACGTGCATGTGCCGCAGAGTCAACGTGCATTGCGCCGTGGGCGCGCCTCGCGCGCCTGTGGCGCCGCCTCATCAGCCGCCACGCCTGCTGCGGTTGCCCCGCGCTTCTTCGGCGTCCCGCGCTTCTTCGGCGCCCCGCGCTGCCTCGCCGCCGCCGCCGCCGCCGCCGCCGCCGCCGCCGCCGCCGCCGCCGCCGCCGCCGCCGCCGCCTCCGCCTCCACCTCCACCTCCATCTCCTCGTCCTCCGCCGCCGCCGCCGGCGGCGGCGCATCCAGGTCCAGCCGCCCGAGATGCCCTTGGACTTGGCGAGGCAGTTCTTCAGATAGTTCGAGAGCGCGGTCTGCCCGACGTCGTGGTCGATGACCTCGAGCTGCACCAGCGTGCGCGTGATGTGGGCGAGCGGCTCCGCCGCCCGAGCGGCGGCTTGGCTGAGCAAGGACGGGACGAGGCCCTTGGCGAGAGCCAAGTTACGCCACTCCGGATCGTCGGTCGGAGGCTGCCATCGCTCGCGCAACTGCGCACAACACGCACACACGGCTCAGGCAGCAAGGCCGAGATAGAGCCGAGATATAGCCGAGATATAGCCGAGATATAGCCGAGGTGTAGCAGCCGCGGCGGCGGCTCGGGGGGCGGTGGGAGAGCAGGGCGGGCGCCTGCTTGTAGCGACTCGACTGCAGCAGCACGACGTTCATCCACTGGTCGACGAGCGTCGGGACGGCGACCCACGAGCCGTCCGCGCCGCGGCCATGTAGCAGCACGAGCAGCGCCCATGCGTGCACCTCCGCCTCGCTGGGCAACGCCTTGCCCGAGGCGCACAAGATCGAGTTCCTGCGGCGCGCGCGCGCGGCAAGAGCTCGCCAAGGCGGGGCGAGCGCGGCCACGGCGAGGGGGGGCACGCACCGCTTCGATTCGGGCGCCCCGCGCTGCAGCGCCGCGCGCCGCTCAAGCTCGGCCTGCACGTTCTGGAGGATCTGCTGCAGCTGCTCGGTCGTGACATCTGCGGCACACACGCGCAAACCTGAGACCCCCACGGGCCCGGCGGCGGCGCGGCGAGCGGGGCGCGCGCAGGGGCACACACGGGCGTCGCAAACGCGCGGGCGCAGCGCGCCTGGAGCACCAGGAAGCTTGCCACCGCCGCACAGGCTCATCGTGATCACCTGCACGCACAGGCATCGCAGATCGTCAATGTCCCGCTGTGTCCCGAGCTTGGGGCTCGCGCTCCGGCGCCACGGGCTCGACGCGAGGACTCTGGAGAGAATGTCAGAGTGAGAGTGGATGAGGTTGGAGTGGAGGCGGCAATCGCCGTGCGGGCGCGCCCGGGGCTGCAGACTCCTCTAAAGCAGCGGGACGGGAGCGCGCGCGCGACCGCGGGCCGGATTTTGCGGGGGAACTCGGGGGGAGGGCGCCCCGGACACGCCCTGCACGCGGCGCGGGCTGGCGCTCACCAGGAGCGGCGGCATTTGCGGTCTTCGTTCGCGGTTTTTCTTTCGACGCCATCATTCTTTTCCCTTTCAGAGGCCTCACTTGTCGCATTTGCGAGGAAAGCAGGCGCGAGCGCTGCGGCGCCGGAGTCTTTCGGTCACCATTCTGGACCATCTTAATATTTTTCAATGATTTTTGCAGGGTCTGAAAGCTGAGACTCAGCTCTTCACGCTCGGTATGAAAGCAAGGTCCGTCCGGGGGGTCCCATTTTTCAGTATTTCCCCCTACTGTGAGCAGCGGCGCGTGTGGGCTTCTCCTGAAGCAGAAGCTGGCGGCGTCGGGCGACATCTTTACGGTCGTTGACCACACGAAGGAGACCGTGTTTGTGGTCAATCCCGGGGTGAGCGAGCTCAGGATGTCCGGAGGTGCGCGTCACTTCGCCGTCTCAGCCACCCTTCCCTTTCCTCAGATGCACATCACTGACCCCACCGGCGTCACGCTTGCCGTGCTTCGGGGCAAGTCCGTGTACAGCTACACGCCAAACTACCCCGGCCAGAAGAGCACCGAGAAGGACCAGGACGGCGCGGACATCTATCGCCACGCGTTTGTCCAGGAGCAGGGTGCCAAAAAGCAGATCATCAAGAAGTGTATCTCGGACGATGATCATCATGCCATGATCAGATGGCGGAGGCCGCCGCTTCGAAATCGTTCGTCAGATGTCTTTCTACTTTGAAGCCAAGATTAAGATTTACGATCCCGTCCTCACAGCGGGACAGCCAATCATCGCCAGCTGCGGCCAGACGTCTCTTCGCTCTCGCTTTGCATGGAGGGGGCCACAGCCAGCTCGTTTGCCCTCAGCTGCTGGGTGTGGTTAGGTCCTTCTTTGACGGGATCGAGTCGGACAAGGACCTCCCCATCTCGAGATCTCAAGTGCGCCGGTTGCGACGTCCTCCTAATCCTGCTTGGCGTGGTTGCGGCCGAGACGATCAAGGACAAGTAGCACTGTGGGCCTACGGCTTTAGCCGCAACCACTCTTGGAGCGCCGCCATCGCTTGACACTCCGTGAGCAGTGTGCGGGCTTGTGTCTCGCCCGGAACCAGCCGGGCTACGTGTACGTCCCTCTTCGTACGCGTGTTTCTGATCACACAGTGTCACGTACGGTAATGCGTCGCCGGGTCGCTCGCGCCGTCGCCGCTCGAGTTCTCTCCTTTCTCGTCAAAATCTCGCGTGTTTTTGAGCCAGGCGTGACGCGTGTGGCACACCGTGCGCCATATCCAATACGCCGTTTTCTTCTTTCTGGGTGTGGACAGACAAATCGAACAAGTTTTGTACACGTATACGGGGGTCATGCTGCTGTGCGCGCCGGTCCCGTAGCGCCGGCGCAAGACGCATCCTTCGACGACTAGCCTCTCCCCGGCCCGCGGAGGTCACTCGCCTGGCCTGCCCGAGTAGAACTCCGCCCCATGCTCCTGCCGCTCGTCGCCCCCCCGCTGGCTCACCCGCACGTCCGGGTCGTCCTCGTCCTCGTCCTCCTCGTCGGCGGCGGCGGGCGGCGGCGCGGCAGGCATCGTCACGTTCGGCGCCGGCTGCAGCTGCCGCAAGTGCTCGAAGACCTTGGACTTGATCTTCTCGAGGTTCTCGGGGATGTTGAGGTTCTCCATGCCCGAGGGCGCGTAGTGCAGCTTGTAGTCCGGCCCATAGTACTCGTAGTAGTCGTTGTACGGGAGGTCGTCCGAGATCTCCTCATTCAGCACCACGGCAGACTCGTACGTCCAGCAGCGCGACACGTTGCGGATCGTGTAGCCGCCGCCGCCCAGGATGAGCGTGGGCACCTTCTGCTGCAGCACAAAGCGCACGCACTCGGCGTGCCCCCGGATGGTCAAGTTGAAGCAGCCGAGCCGGTCGCCGCAGAGCGAGTCGGCGCCGCACTGCAGCACGATAGCGCCGGGCTGGTACATCTGCATGATCTGCCCGATCACGGGCTTGAAGATGGAGGCGTACGAGGCGTCGTCGATGCCGTCCTGCAGGGGAAGGGGCGAGGGCGGCGAGCGCTTGGGCGGAGAGGGTGCCGGGCGCGCGCCGCGGCTTGCCAGCAGAGGCCGCAGCTTGCTAGCAGGGAGGGAAAGCGTCACGCGGCGGGTAGACGCGGGCGGGCGGATGTGCCCGGGGGAGGGGGGGGGGGGGGGGCTCGCGGCGCGCCTTGAGCGGAAAGTTGACCGAGTAGTACTTCCCCGCGTTTGCTCCGACGTCCTTGACGTCGCCCGTGCCGGGAAAGTACTCGCCAAACTTGTGAAAGGAGACGGTCAGCACGCGGTCCGTCGTGTAAAAGGCCTGCGCGGCGCGGAGGGCGAGTCAGCGCCGGCCCGAGCAGCAGCGAGCGAGGGGCGGCAGGGAGGGGTCCGTTGGGGCGAGGGGGCGAGGGAGGATTGCCGAAGGCAGAGAGAGGACTCGCCGGGGAGAGAGGCGGTCGGGCGGTCGGGCGGGGGAGGGGGAGGGGGGAAGGGGGGGAGTCAGGCTGCGCGCCTCCTCGACGCCGTCGCCGTGGTGGATGTCCTACGGGAGGTGCAGGCGCCGCCGCCTCACAGAGCTGGTCGCACAGGCGCGTCGCGCAGGCGGGCGGAGAGGCGAGAGGGCGACGAAGCCACTGGGAGGGACGCGCGGCGGCGGCGGCGCGGCGCGGGAGCGGCGGCGGCGGTGGGTGGCACAATGTCAATGTAGAGCACGCGGCGGTGGTGCTTGAGCAGCTCGAGGATGGCAAGCACGATGTCGTTCGCGTAGCAGAAGCCCGAGGCCTCGGACTTTTTCGCGTGGTGCAGCCCGCCCGCCCAGTTAATCGCAATGTCCGACGTGCCCTTGTTGAGCTTGACGGCGCCGCCGATCGAGCCGCCCGAGCTGGCCTGGCAAAACTGGTAGAGGCCCTCGAAGACGGGGCAGTCCTCGCCGACATTGACTGCGGGCGGGGAACGGCGCTGCCTCAAGTAACGTCGCGGCGGCGGCGACGGCGGCGGCGGCGGCGGCGGCAGCGGCGGCGGCGGCGGCGGCGGCGGCGGCGGCGGCGGCGGCGGCGGCAGGGAGTGGGGCGGCGGGGAGTGATGCGACGCCGGGCGCGCGGCGTGGCGGGTGCACGGCGTCGACGCGGTGCGACTCGCGCGCGCGCGCGCGGCGGGGGCAGGGGCGGGGCGGCGGCTCACATCGCTGCATCTGCTTGGTGTACTCGCCCATGTTGTCTGGCGTGATGTGCCGCAGGAAACGCATGTACTCGTCGGAGTGGAACTTGCGCAGCTCATCGAAGGTGGCTGGGCTCGGCCGCTGCGACGCAGCGAGGCGGGTCCGATGGGACCCGGGCGATGCGCACTCGGCTTGCAGGTGTGAGGCAGGTGTGGCAGGGCCGTCAGGCGGTGGCACGGTGCAGCACTCACGTAGATCTCCATCTTCTTGTAGAGGCCATAGTTGAGCAGCAGGTTGTGAGCCATGCGAATACGATGAGGCTTCATGGGATGGCCCTGGCCATAGTAGTAGTTGCCAATGTCAGAGTCGTAGAAGTAGCACACCCGCTGCTTGCCGCTCGCGCGCGACATCACGCCTGTGAGGGCGGATGCTCGTCTATCTAGGACTAGGTCCGCCTCCTGCCTGGCTAGTGTTCAGGAAGAGAGTCAGCTGGCGCGTGGGCAAAATGTGCCTGGATGGGGCGCTCTTGCCTGCGCCGCTCGCGCTCTGTGAAGCAGACAGGAAAAAGAATTTGGTCACCCGAGGGTCGGTCCTCCCGCCTGGCTGTGGGGCGTCTCGCGCGCCAGCGGTAAGTGAAGCAGACAGGGAAATAATTTGCGCCCGGAGTATGACGAGCCGCCCTCGAGGTTGCGTCCACCACGCATCGCCAATGTCGCATGATGAAGTCTTACTTCAGTCTACACTCCCCAGCATTGTGGCGTCACGAGTGCCCACATTGACAGCGTAGTTTCCTCTCACATCCACGTCTCCGCCGGCGCATCGCGTGGCAGCTCCCGCTCGCGCCGCCCTCCGAGCCCCCTCCTCCTGCTCCCGCCTCCTCCAAGGGTGAGTTAGCGGGTCATGGTAGAGGCCGGGCACGTAACCGTTGATTGAGTGCGAATGGTGTCGACCACAACTCTGACGCGCTCGGGCTCTAGGCTCTAGTCTACCTCACAGACTCAACAAGGCCCACAACATCTCACAAACAACTCATGTCTCTCTCTCCCTGTGTCTCTCTCTCTCCGTCTCATGGTCTCATCAACCGGTGCCGCCTCCGCTGGGCCACGCAGAGTCGAGAGTAGAGTTGTTTTGTCACCTCCTGGTTGTACGTTTGTGGGTGGCCCGAGCATCCCGTACGTACGTACTTGTAGCTTACTGGGAGAAAAGGGAGAGGGGGCTGTGTTCTCTAGGCCCCTAAGGGCCCTACGCGCGGCGTGAGAGCTCGGAAGCGAGCTTTGCACGGCGATCGAGGATGGCGCGGTTCACCCCCTTCAGACACCGAAGCGATGGAGATGCGTTCCGCGTGGTGTGACACAAATGAGAGGCGGGAGTGGGGAGGGTACGCGGTGCGGTCAACGCCCGAGCGTAGCTCTTCAGTGATAACGACGCGCGATCGGGGCGCCGCGTCGGCGGCGGGAAGGGGGGCGGGGGCGGCGAGGGCCATCTGAGCGCCCCGGGGCGCCCCGCAGGCGCGGGAGGGGCCGCGGCAGCGGCCTCGGCCGAGGTGGTCGAGGTGGTCGAGGTGGCGTAGGTTTGTCCACAAAACGGACCCTAAGTGGGAGCCTTTGACGCGATCTGCGAGTACGTTACGGAGGACAAGACGGAGGGGCCGCTCCCAGGAGGCTCATCACGCAAACAGACCGGATACATCAACACCAGCTTGAGGCGACACAGAGGGAGCTAGACGGCGCGCTGTGGAGAACGGCGTGGTCGATCTCGCGAGATAGAGCCAGCTACGCCCTCAAGTGCCGGTGCCACGGTGTGACCCTAGGGTTCCCGTGCCATAGCCGGTCGATTCGGAGGATGCTGATACTTCGAGCGGAAGCTATAGCAAGGGGGGGCCCGAGGCGGGGAGGGCGCCTAGGCGGTGGGATCGAACGACTGGGGGTTCCGCAGGGTCGCGCGAGGGAGGCCGGGCAAGCGGAGAGCAAGGGACCGGGACGAGCCGAGGGCTCGCCCTGACGGGCGAAGGAAGGGACTCTGGGACCGGAGTCGGGCGGGCGCACATGAGGCGTATCCGTGTACGTGCGTGGAGTGCAGTGTTGTGTGTCCGTTAGCTCCGAGTAGCGGGGGCGTTCTGCAGTTAAGGGGAAACCCGGTACACGGAACTAACCCTCGGAGACCTGTGTTTACTTTACGGCCCTTTCCTGCGAACGCGTACCCCCCTAGGGGTCAGGGCTCCTGTAGCCCGATCCCGATCATCCGGCCCGCTGGGTGCGCTTCTTAGCTCCCCGGCCCTGGATGTGAGGCTGATGACTGCACTCCAAGTGCTCCAAGTTTCGGCACTCCCGCCTGCGCTGCGCGTGTGGTCACCCCTCCCTTGTTTTGGATACCCCGCTCCGAGAAAGCATGTCCGGAGCTGCGAGAAGAGACACGTCACCATACTCCAAGACCCAGTCTTCACCACTCGGCACCTGGCGACGGCAAAAGCGGCACTTTACCTGCCTGACGTTGACTCACGGCAGGAGGCGGCGCTACAGGGCGCTCTTGAGCTCTATTTTCAATAATCACGTGGGTCGGAGTGAAATGGAAGGAACCGCCGTGAAGAGGAAAAAACAAACGTCCACCGCGGTAGAGTCTAGAGATACACCAAGCCGCTCAGAATGACCGTGTCCGAAGACTGCACCCCCCCTCTTAGACAGGACAGCCATCACGACTCTGTCTGCCCGGGCCTCCTGGGCAAACTAACCCAATAATGTATTAAGACCACTCCGCCGACGTCAGGCAAGAGGGCGCAACGTTGTTGCCGTTGAGCCTGCAATGTGGCACGAATGCGTTCGCAGTCTGCGAGAAGCTGCTTCCTCCCGTGACGAGGAGCAGGTCGGACCGAGTCAGGATATGCCAATCGGCGACGATCCGCTCGTGAATAGTGGAGACGTTAGACTTCCCGGCAGCGGCGGCGTCACTGTTGTGCTGGATTGTCTCGGGGGCAAGATGCAAAGTGGGGGCAAGCTGCGGGTAGTCTTCATTGAGCACGGCGTCAAAAGCCCGGATGAAGCCTGCATCGTCAGACGCGACAAAGATGCGAGGCATCGTTGCTGGAAAAGGGGCACACTTTCGCGTCACGTTGCAAACAACGGCACTGGTCGCCACGCCGAAGACTGCCCGCGCGGTGGCGTTCGCAAAGCGCTTTCGGTCCCACGCTGCCCCACCCGCCCTTACGTCCCCGTCATGGGAGGAGAAAGCGACCGCGTCACCAGCACGGTGGTGCAGCGCGATCAGAATGGGCTCGTGGTGGCGAGCACGCGGCCTGGCGCGCCCATTCTCGTCCGAACGCGTCGCCGACAAAACGGGTAAAGCCAGCTCGCCCACTCTCGCGCTCACGCGGCGGAGGAATCTGCGCGTGGTGCATGCCTCGTCACACCACGCGCCGGGGGCAGCGAGCATATCCATCGCACTGCTGTTCAGCTTGCAGCGCGCCCACGTCTGGCAAAGAATCAGCTGCTCGAAGTGGACGATTTGCCTATCCTCTCCGGGTCCCCGCGCCGTAGTTGGAAGGTGGCAGACGACATCCTCGTAGATCTTTCTGCGTTTCATACCCGGCACCCTCATGAATTTCTGGGTTATGTCGACTAAGCAACGTGAATTCTCAGTCGGGCAATCGGGCAAAGGGTGTGCAAAGTGTTCAGCCAAGTTGATCTCCGCCATGCCATTTCTTAGCGCACGCCGCCAGCACACCGGTCGGTTCAGCGCGTCCGAGATGGCGATTCCCACGGTGAGCCTTAGCATCGTCTTCGTGATCTGGTTTCCCAGTCCCGCCGCACCGAACCTCCTGACACAAACAAACTCGCCGCCGCCGTCGGGTTTGTCTCTGTGGCCGTTTGCTGGAAGAGCAGTGCAGTTGCCCGATATGTTCGTGGGCGTCGTCCACGGGTCCTTGCGAGTGGAGCGGTGATGAACGTGCTTAGCCAGACTGACGGCGACGAGAGCGGCAATGCAGGAGGCCATCCGCCTCCGCCTGGGCGCTCGAGACGAGCGGAAAAGAGAGAGAGGGAGAGAGAGAGAGAATGTGAGACGATCGAGCTTTTGCTGAGGCGCTGTTCACGCTTCGGAGGTTCTTTTTGCTGCATGTGTGCGGGGTGTGTTGTCGCGATCTGCCCGGCCGTACATCCGAGCGACTGTCGGGCGTCAGACGGGAGCCTTGGCTCTTAGCTAAGAAGTCGATCTGAAGATCAGCGCCCTAGACCCCCCACGCCGCGTCCACCCTCCATCCAATATTCACCTTCCCTCTTTTCTGCATATTTTTCTTCGCTGTTGAAATTCTTTTTCATCTCTCTCTGAACACGCTGGATTCCTTGGCTGCACGTACCCGACATCCCTGGATGTGCGTCGTTCCCAACAAAGGGCGAGGCTGGCGTCGCGCACGCAGATATTTTTTGGGTCTATTAAAATTAATCGAGCTTACTTATCAGAGCATGTAGCTCTTTACGAACATAGCCGGAGGGAGAACTGCTAACAGGGGGTTTTGTTTACGATGAGGATTTATCGTTGATGTGAGAGAGATCTTGTTCTCTTCATGTGGAAGAAGATGTTTTCAAAATACCCCTCAGCAGTCCACCTCCGGGTGATCGTAAGAGCCGCATATGCTACCAGGTCACAGTATGGGTTTGGGACGTATTCACAGCAGTGTGCTCGGGTCCCCTACCTCCGGAGCCAGCGTGGATTTCTTTTTCGGGCAAGAATTCCAGGGCTGGATTTCTTTGGAGTTTTGTTGTAAAATTCTTTCTGAAAATGAATAGAAGATGATGTTTTGATTTCAAAAATCTCTCTCTGTTGATGTGGCTGAGGGCCCAACTTCAGAATCGTGCTTTTTTGGTTAGGGACCAAAGCGAAAGCGAGAAGGACCACCTTTGGGTTAGGGACCGCGGGCGACAGGTTAGGGACCGATCGCCGCCGCATACGCCGGCGGACGGCCACCATCGGTGTTTTTGGCTTCGCCACCGTTCAAAGCGTGCGCAATGCGCTCGCCGACATCAAGCGAGCACGCCTGTCCGACGAGCGGCTTGCTGTGTGGACGCCTTCTTGTGGCTCTCGTCGAGAGCGTTTTGCGGCCCGGCGGGTGGGAGAATATGTGTCGTCTGATGTGTCACTGTGTACGTCATATCAGTCTTGATAATAAGCACGGTCGATCCGTCAAAGCGATACACTCGTTCCTATCACGTTGGACGGCTGGCACGGGAGCTCTGTGCCAGCAACAGGAACCGAGCCGTACGGCAAGAAGAGCTCGATGGGGAGCGAGAACCGTCAGAGGAGCTTCAAGGGTAACCTGAAGTCCTCCGTGACGCGCTCAATCGCTCCCAAGCGGGTGGCTCTCGAAAACCGTCGATATCTTCCGGAAAGACTGCTCTTGCCGAGCAGCCGATGCCCAGACGGAGGCGCAGAAAGGCTGCGAGTACTCAACGAGTTCCGCGACCTACGCAGTCAAACCTGGGGGGAACTGACCGCACCATGGCGGACTTCCGAAACCTCCCTGAGCACCTCTGACGGTTCTCGCTCCCCATCGAGCTCTTCTTGCCGTACGGCTCTATTCCTGATGCTGGCCGCGAC